AACAATATATTTAAAATCCATCCTGAATTCTAGTAGTGCCGCTCAACTAGTTGTTGCCATGACACTACAATCAATAGGACTTAACTTTTAGTTAATTCAATTCTTAATCCAGAGTCGGTAGGTTTTGGTATTTCGAATCCAAACCGTCCCTAGTATACCACCGTCCCATACGGTGTATACAATCCAATCATCCAACAGTTGATAATACAGACAACTACCATAAGTATCAACTCAATCCATATCTCCCTTTCTGTTACTAACAGTCATATTGTAAGCATTAATAAACACAACCAACCATATCCATAAACAGGCTCAGTTTTATATCCATTACTGATATTATCAATTAAACACAGTCAAACTATTTTTCTACATATGCTCAGTTTATAGTGTTCCACAAAATCTGATCTAGTGTTAAGTTTAAATTTTTTTAGCATCCAACATCCAGCAGTTGGTATTACAACCAGTTAAGATGACCATTAACTATGTCCATTCCTCTACTAAGTGATACTAGCAGTGGTAAGATACACATCAACAACAGAAACCACAGTATCTATATAACATGCTTAATTTAAGTTATTTTACAAAATTCCCTTTAGTGCCAAGTTTAAGACTTATTCCCATTCAACTCTAACACATCCCAGAAGAGTATAATCCAGATACATGCTCAGGTTATAGAGTTTAACAAGTTCCAGTTATAACATCTGTCTCACAAGATTTCTATTGCAGAGAGAGTTAAACACTACTAGCTTCACAGAATTAAACATAGTTTAAATACCTAGTTAAGTCCCTACTGTCCAAGCTAATCTAAGCAAGTAGACTTAATTAACACCACAACAGAAACTTTAATCTAACCAAATATATCAATTAGACCCTCCATAATCACCCTGCACTCAACTGAATACTCCAGAAACAACTACAGCATGCAAAACTTACTGGAGAACGAAGAAAAAATAAAAAATTCACCAAAGAAGACGTCTCCAAAAAGTGGAGCCGCCTCCTTTAGACCTTGGAGCCGGCTCCACTTTTTGGAGCCGCCTCCACCTAAAAAGGGAGCCGGCTCCCTCCAAGGGAGAGCCGGCTCTCTCCCTCTCTGTCTCGTCTCTTCGCCCTCTATCTTCGTTTTTACGCCTCTGCTACCTCACGCCATGATTTTCGGAGACTGTAACCCACTCCCAGTACATCCCAGTTCATGCTTAAGTCCAGTTAACATTACACACATTGCTTTAAACAGAGATTCATGCAAGCAAACAATAGGTTCTTAACAGTTTTACAAAGCGTGAAAACTTACAGACCAGTTTCGGTTTAAGCATAAACAAAGAATGTTTTAATTGATCTGATTAGTCCTAAAATTGTTCAAGAATGCAAAGAACACGAAACCTAAGAGAGAGAGTGAGGATAGAACTTGCCTTACGCTGACGTTCGCCTTAATTTGCCGTCGAATCCTTCGTTTGCTCTCTGTTTCCTGCCGTCTCTAAAACTGCTCACAGATTTACTATGTCGTAGTATTATGCTAAAACCCTAGACAAACCCCTTAGATGAGTATTTATAAACCACTATAACCCTAGGCTCAATTAAACTCTAATACAAATCACTCGGCCCATTAAACAACCTAGGTTTAAAACATTGACGGCTATATAAACTATAACCCTAATGTAATACTATCTGTGTGCAATCTTCTATACTGACACGTTAAGATAGAATAAATAAGAAAATTGAATTAAATAACTTCAAGTAAAACAATTTAAATAATTAACTCAAGCAATTAATTCAAATAAAGCAAATAATCACAATTAAGTCAAAAAAATTCAAGCAACTAAACAATTAACCATTAAAAATTTAACTAAATAATTAATGAAATTCCAGGACTATCCTTTTGAAAATTAAAATAAAATAATAATCAAAGAATTTACAGAACACAATTAAACCCATAACCAATTAAAACATTAAATGGAAAATTAAAATAAAACAATAATTAAAGAATTTATAGAACACAATTAAACCAATTAAAACATTAAATAAAACAATTAATGAAAAGAAAACAATTAAACAAAATACCGAGACTATCCTTTTGAAAATTAGGGGTATTACACCCATCCCATTCAGAAATCCTGGATCCACCCTTGATAGCATTTTAAATTATATATACATATATGTAAATAATACATCCATAGGAAGCCAAAATACATGTTAAGCATGTATATATATATATATATATATATATATATATATATATATCTTATAGGAATATTTCTTTTTTACAATTGAAAAACAAAAAAAAGAAAGAAAGGAAAAAATTCATTTACATAGGTTAGTTGTTTATATATAGGAAGTATATATATATATATATATATATACTTTTAATAAATTACATGGTTTAATTCTTCGTAGGACTGATTTTGGAAGATTATTATTTTCCTTTTGTGTAATTGTTTTACATGAATTAAGCACCACTAATGTTGGAAGAGGAGCATATAAATACTGATCTGCATGAATTAAAAAAATACACTCTCTCCTCTCTCTCTCTCTCTCTACCATGGAGAACAATAATCAGCCATTGTCAACAAACCATCTCCAAGGCCCTGTGAGACCACCAAATAACCCTTCTGCTTCATCCTTCACTAAAGGTGCCAATGACATACACCTATTTCAGGAATTCAAGTTTTCTTTAGAGAATTCATTGTTGAATCAAGAAAGCTTTGGTACCTCGCCGCTCTGGCCATCTTCATATCCTTTGGTCAATACTCCCTAAGTTTTGTCACTCAGATCTTCGCCGGCCACTTTGGAATTCTCGAGCTGGCCGCTGTTTCCGTCCAGAACTCCATCACCAGATTCTCTTTTGGTGTCATGGTATAAATTATATATACATATATATATGGGTTTTTAATTTTTTTTTATTTTTATCTAGGACTTTGGTGACAGGCCTTTTAGAGTACCCTACAATCTTCCAACAATTTCAACGCCATTAACTCAAAGAGGATGGCCTTGGTGACAAACACTTTCACCAGAGCACTACAAACTATGGAACAACGCAAACCAACTAGTTTAACACTGTTGTGATATTTGGTCTCTTTTTGTTGCCTGAGTTATTTACTACCCAACGTTACCTAGTGACTTAATTGGTTTAGCGTCCAACTTACCAAGCAGGTTTGCATTCCCTTCCCCCTAATTAGTGACCTCATTTTTGGGCTACAGTTGGGACTGTTTGTTTTCATTTTTGTTAAGTGATTTCTAGCCAATTTTTCTTGTTTCCATTGGGCCCAACTTAGGCCCAAATGAAAAAGAGTGTAAGTTAGAGTTTACTATACATTGTTAAATACACAATTCTATAATAATTTAAGCTTTTGAGATTCAAAAATGACAATCTAAAAATATGTGTGTTAATATATAGTGTTTGATATAATATATAGAATATAAATGATCTCTAACTTATTCACCGGTGAATGAAAGATTTATTCACACCAAGTATGGAGACGATTGAATATGATTATTATATTATTTTTAGTAATTACGCATTCGTACACTTAAACCATATGATCACCAGGTGTAAAGAAGGTTTGTGGCTCATGTCGATATACTCTCTCCGTCTCAAATTAAATATCCACCTTTTCATTTTTGCCGTCTCAAAATAAATGAAACAATCATACGAACCCATGATATATTTGGTTATTCATTCACTATCAAAATAATAAAAGGGCAAACTACAATGACCTCCCCTGAGGTTTGGTCTAATTGCAACTAAACCTGTGTTTTGCTATTTTTTTGCATTGTGTTCCCTTGAGGTTTGCTCAATTTTGCAAAGACCTCCCCTCAATACAAAAAATGGTACTTTTTGTCAGAAAATTTGGTTGAAGTGACTAAAATGCCCATCAACTAAGTGTAAAAGACCACATTACCCTTATAGTGTCATGAAATAACAAAAAAAACCATGCATTAGTGGACCAAATTACCCTTTATATATAAATGAGACTAAAGCATGAAATTGAACTTCAAATGCAAATCCAAATGGGTCAGTTCCCATTTCTTCATTTAATCTCCATCTGTAAATATATTTTTGCTGATGGGTTTGTTCCATGAAATAACAAAAAAAACCATGCATTGGGTTTGGGGTTTACTTGGACCGGATCAGATGGGTCTGTGTCGGAACAATGAATTGAGTTGTAGTTCTACGCCGATATGAGATCGCCAATTGTGGATCTTCCTCCACCAACGTCGTCCTCGTCTCCTCCACCTACCGCCACCGACACCAAGATGCTCAAGTCTCAACATGAACCCACTTTGAGATATAAATTTCCTTATATATACATATATATATATATATATATATATATATATCTTGTGTCGTAGTTGGGATTGAAATGTAAAAATAGGTTTGGTGGAGAGAGATGGTGGTGGTAGAAGGTCGAGTGGTGGTGGTGATTGGGGGTGGGGTAGCGGCTGAAGAGAGAAAAGAGAAGGATGGTTGGACGAAAAAAGAAAAAAAAAAAAATTGTGGTTGTAAGTATAGGGATAAAATAGTCATTTGATATTTTTATATATTTTTAATAATATAATAATGAGGGTAAATAAGTAAATTCATAGCAAATTCTGACATAGTGTGGTCTTTGCAAAAAAATGATAAACCTCAGGTTTAGTTGCAATTAGGTCAAACCTCAGGGGAGGTCATTGTAGTTTGCCCTAATAAAAAATATATATTAAAGTCCATCCTCTTTAAAAGTTGAATATATTAAAGTCCATCCTCTTTAAAAGTTGAATTCAGATAATGGACATTTAATTTGAGACTCAGGGAGTATCATTTTCTAAAATTAACTTAGTATACACATGGAATATACAGTTGGGAATAGGGAGCGCACTAGAGACTATGTGGACAAGCATTTGGAGCCTCACAACCGGACATGCTTGGGGTCTACATGCAGAGGTCATGGATCATCCTCACCACCACAGCCTTTTTCATCATGTACTTCTACATCTTCGTAACACAATGTCTAAACTTATCGGGCAGACTAGGGGGATTCCGCAGCTCTACGCCTACGCGGCCAACTTTCTGATGGCCAAGTTCTTGCAGGCCTAAACCAAGATGACGGTGACGGCTGTGATAACTGAAGTGGCTTTGGTTTTTCACTCTCTTCAGCTGGCTGTTGACGCTGAAGTTGCGGTGGGGTCTAGTGGGTGCCGCCGTGGTGCTCAACGCTTCGTGGTGGTTCATAGTGGTGGCTCAACTCCTTTATAAATTTAGTGGAGCCTGTGGTCGATCATGGTCCTGGTTTTCATGGAAGGCATTTCAGAATCTCCGGGGTTTTGTGAGGCTATCTCTTGCATCCGCAATAATACTTTGGTGAGACTTCGATATCGATTTCTTAAACCTCTATTGGATTTTTATTTATACATACCCTTCCTAGGTTTAAAAAATAGGTCTAAGTAGCATTTTTCTTTGCTGAAAATTGAAACTTAGCTAGTGTAGAAAAATATCATGCAAGAAAAACTTTCACAAAAAGTAATTTTGTAGGGATGACAAATTACCCGTGGGACAGGTACCTACTTAACATTAACATTATATAGAATCTAGAAAGTACTCAAAGATAACGTTCTTCTTTATTTTATTTCTAAATTTAAATTAACATCAATTACTATAATTTTACCTCAAACTTTTAGAACAATTGTGTTATAAATTAGGTAAATAAATTTCCATCAGAGAACAAATCATCCAACCTTAACAATATTATATAATTAACATGTAGTCTTAAAAATATATGAAATAAAAAATATTCTTATAGTTCAGATTACTTAGATTGTTACTGGTACTATTCATAGCAATGAGATACGAGTCATATGTTAACGTGAATTATAATTTTGGGTTGTGTGGGCCTAGCTCGTCAGCATTGGACCACACAATTGACTTGATCTGTGCTTCCCAAAATCTATATTTAGTAAATGCCCACGACTAGGCTTTTTTCCTGGGTGTGGGATGGATTGGGTCCAACTGGAAAAGCCTTTTATTTCATTTACTTGTATCATTGTTAGACTTTTTCTCTTATGCTGAGTATGGCGGGGGCGGTGGATGGCGGTGATGATGGTGGTGGGGGTGTAAAGCGGTAGTGGTGTAAGTGGTGGTGTTAGAAGGCGACGGTGGTGGTGATGGTGGAAGGCGGCGGCGGCGACGGTGGTGGTGATGGTGGAAGGCAGCGGCGGCGGCGACAGTGGTGGTGGTAAACAACAAACCGTTATCAGAATATTAAACCAAGCGGAGGCATTGTAAAGTTTTCTGATTTTCAGTTCTCTAAAACCAGTAAACTGTTTTTAGAGTTTCAAACCAAGCAGTCCCCAATTCTGAATCTGAATAGTTTTTTGAAAATTGAGCCAAGCTAAGTCTTTGTACAGTTTTGTTATTCCCATTTCTCTAAAAATAGAAAACTATTTTTAGAGTTTCAAACATGCATGATTTTTTTTCAAGTCAATATTATTTGTGTGTATATATATAATATTTTCAAAGAAGTAAAAATTAATCATATATGAACTGAACTGCTTGTTATTTTAATTGATTATTTATTTCCAGGGGATTTGGTATGGCACGCTGATAGGAACACTGTTGCAAACGGGTGTACTGTTCTGTGTGGTTTACAGAACCAACTGGAATAAAGAGGTAGCAACTATATTCACATATAGACAAACCATGTCCATACTTTTAAATTTTTTTAATTTTTTAATTATTATGATTCTTATAAACCAATACATATTCCAATTAAGACTTTAATCTGGTTCAAAATGCAGGCTTTTATTGCAGAAAAGAGAATAAAAACCATGGGGTGGAGAACCAATCGCTAGAGAGAACGATGTGAAGAATTAATCAACTAAACTCGATAATAATATGAAATTACAAACACGGATTTGCATATGTGAAAAAAAATTCAATTGCAGAGAGGAGAAAGCAACAATTTTACCATTGCAACAAATTCAATGCCCATAAGAATTCTTTGTTATGCATTAAGGCAACTTATCGCTCCAAATCCTTATTTGAAAGGGAAAAAAAACCATTATTGCTATATATATGTATAGGAATTTCAACTTTTGAAATTGACTAATATTTCTGTGAATATTTGTGTAGCTTTAGAAGGTATATGTAATAATGTCTGTCTTGATTAAAGTACAAGCATGTGATGTGCTATATATAGTTGCGGAGACAAATTTTGAACCCTTAAGAACGTGACACCTTTACAAGATAGCAACAAGGCACAGGGCAACATGTGGCCATTGTAATGCCGGTACATGGCTAGTCGAACATGCCAAACAGGTTGTTTGACACCCCAATTTGAATTTGTGTTGGTTTTCTTTAATTGACTGTATGAGGCATTGCCTAAGCAATGTGAATTTGTTGGTCTTATCGCAAAATTTTACACCTAGAATAGTAATGATCGAGAATATAAAAACATGTATAGGTGTGCCTGTATTTTTTGGCCCAGGTATAATAGTGATTTACCATAATAAAAACGTGCACATTAATTCGTTTTAGGATAAAGTGAAATTAACCTCCCTCAACTATATTCCAAGTGCAACTAACTTCTCTTAACTATGGTATTAGTGTAGTCTTAGGACAGAGAAGGTTTTTCAGGTCATTCTAGCTACTGGAAATTAGAAAAATCTAATTTAACCCTTCATAAAACGGTGCCGTATTATAGTAAGGAAAATAAAATGCTTGGCGGACACGTGTTAGCAGCCAATACCCCCAAATTAAAAAGGCGACGACGAAGCCGGCGATTAACAGAATGGCGGGCAAGGCGATGACGAGCTTGGCTGTGGCAGCTTGATGGAGACTGGTTGTGACGGGGAGGCAGGTGGACTGAACGGAAGAGATGGCAGCGGCTCAGCCAGTGGAGGGCTCGGTTGACTCGGCCGTGAATGACTCGTGGCGGCGAGCTTAATTGGCAGGATTGAACGGCGGCCGAACTAACGGCGAGCAAGGAGACTTCGGACGATGGAGAGGAAAGAGACGGCCTCGGTGGTTTCGGCTTAGGATGATGTCGATTGTGATGGACGACGGGTGGTGCAGCGGTGGTGACGGACCGGCGAGGGCTCGGCCGTGAGGAAGAAATGCGACAGTGGAGAAGAGTGGCCGGCAAGGATGAATCCAAGCTTCTTGTTCTGTAAATGGGTTTTGATATTTTACTTTTACTCACTGTATACTAAGCTTAACATTTGGGTACAAAAGCTTCAAACTATACATCGGATCGTTTCATTCTAATGCTAAAGGACTGGTTACGAGCATCATATGTGTTGTGTATATATATATCATGTGTTATGTGTATATGTGTGTGTATGTATATATATATATATATATCATATGTGTTATGTGTGTGTGTATATTTATATATATAAACATCAAGGTAACGCGTAGACAATGATACTTACAGAGACAGACCCTTGCAAAAATTAAACGATGGATAGATACAAACATGCTATACAAAGATCGATCTCGATACACAATGATTTGGAAAGAGGGGAGGAGATTGATGTGATACACACTGATATTGAAGGAGGAGCACCACAGATCGATAAAGGAAGAAGAGGCTTGTTTGGGTCCAATGGTGTTTCATGGGCATTATAGTCTTTTAAGTTTGATGAGGGTTGTATGGTCATTTACATATATTTGGCCTCTCACTAGCAAGGAAATTGATCGGCTGGTTGCCGGATTGGTAAAGTGCAACAAACTGAATAGTTTAAGGAGTTTTTTTGCTCATTTTGAAATTTAGGGAGGTTTTTTGCTTGTTAGGATATAGTTTAGGGGGTTTTAATTTACTTTACCCTTCTTTTTATTACTCTTTTCTCCTATCTAGCCCTTCAGGACATTCAAGTAATACTTTAATGCCACTTAAGTGGTAAATATCTATCATTTCTATGGTAAAAAGCTGTACAAGAAGGCAGGGCCGGCCCTGGCCCAAGGCAACCAAGGCGGTCGCCTAATTTTGAGGCCCATAGGAGATGTAAAAAAACAAAAGTTCAGGACAAGACTTGGTTGCCTTGGGCTCAAATTTTTAGAGGCCTCAAGGGGATGGAAAAAAAAACAAAAAGTTAGGGCAAGTTTCAGAAGACACAATCTGCTTCGACACTCCGCAGGGCGCAGCCTCCGCTATCGCCTCAGGTGACAGGGTATGTTCATCCTCTCCCTCTCTCTCTTTCTCTCTCCTTTTGCATGAATCGATCTTTTTTATATGTTTCTTTCTTTCGTTCATCTCATCATTTGATTTTTCTAACTTTGGTTCGTTTGGTTACCTTTGTTCCCATAGTGAAAGTAGCTTCCAAACTAGGGTTTTTTTTTTTTTTGTGTGTGTGTGTCACTGTGTGTGATGGCTATCAAAAGCTGAATGAATATATTATGGTTCTCTTAGTATTTTAATAAATGTGTGCCTTTCTACATGTGTCTTTCATGGCGATCGAGTCCATAATCTTTGGCGGGTAAATTTCTTTTTCTTTTTCTTTTTCCTCTCCCTAATTCCACTCCAATCTCACAACAACAGCAACTATAGCCCTTTTCCTCATAATTTTTTGCATTTTCACATTCAATCCCACGAAAATTAAGGATCCCTTCTAGTGGGTTGAGGTAATAATTAACTTTTTCGATCTCTAAATTGTGCTCATACTTAAAAGTGCCAAATTAAGGGTTTTTTATTTTTATTTTTATTTTATTTTTATATGAAGATACATACCACCATTATTGATGTTATTTGAAGTTGGCTCAGTAAGAATTTCAGTTTATAATACTGTCAAAGCAATTGCCATCAGAATGTACAAACACATGGAAATCAAGAGCAGGCTTTAACAAAACAAAAGTTACTGGTTTTTTCTATTAATTTGCACATGTCTTCTGTAGCAATGATCAATCAATTACTGCGGGTAATTGGCTCCCAAAAAACACACACACAAAGTGTAGTGTAGTTAAATAAAGAGTGAAAGACAAAACTATATATGATAGTGGATGCCACATATAACCCACAACTTCTTCAGTACTACAAGTTCAGCCTCCTATATGTATATAGTCACCTCATCTCCACATATTTTTTTCATCTGTAATCGTCAAATTTTAGTAGCTATATAAACAATGAATGCAAAAGAAGATGCAGTTTTCTGTTCTCTAGTAAATTGTTCTCTTCATTTTTTATCTTGTGCCTGTGAAAATTTCGCACTCTTTAATTGATAAATTTATTGTTATTAGTTAGTTTTCTTATGCATACTGCACATGCGCACAATTATTTATTGGTGATGATAGATTTATAGTTATTAGTTAGTTGTCTTATGCAAACTGCACAGACACAATTATTTATTGGTAGTGATAAAAATTTATAATTATTAGTTAGTTGTCTTAAACACACTGCACTGACGCATAATTATTTATTGGTTGTGATAGATTTATACTTATTAGTAGTTGTCTTATGCACACTGTACAGGCGCACTATTATTTGTTGGTCGTGATAAATTTATAGTTATTAGTTAGTTGTCTTATGCACAATGCACATACGCACAATTATATTAGCTATAGAATTTGAAAACAATGTGTTAAAATTATGCACTCTTATAATTTTTTTTTTTTTTGCGTGTGTGAAACTCAAGGGCCTCACATTTGAAAGTTCAACTAGGGCCTCTCAAAATATTTGGAATCTTAGGGCCGGCCCTGCAAGAAGGGAACAGTGAATCAACTAACTTGTAGAAAGGAAAGGAAAATAACTTTTAATTTAGTGCAGGGATTAAAAATCTCACATGGTAAAGACTATATAAAGACAAATATTTGCCAAATCAAGGATTCAAGTTCCAAAATTATTCAATTTTTTATTTTTATTTTTTAAATTGTTCAAAGTAAATTATGTTCTAACAACGAGCATTATTTTAGATTGTATATCGTTTCCAAATGTAAGATGTTCGGGTGAGTTAGGTAGCCCAATTGATAAAGGCACTCTCCAGAACCCTATGGGATCCCGAGTTCGACTAGTTTTTTTTTTTAATAATATACACAACTTCTAATTTTGCCTTCAGAAACTTACTGTACATAGAGTTGATTTGTAACCAAATAATAACAAGCATGGGCGGTTGTAGGGGTGGGCTTGAGCCCACTCCAAATTTTTTTTTTTTTTACTATACTAAATTATTACTAATTTTAGCCCAACAGAAAAAAAAAATAAAAAAATAAAAAAATAAAATTTATTAATAGAATTAGCCCACCCAATCATGCCCAATTCAACTCAGCCACCATACTAAAATAGAAACCCAAGCCAAATAAGCCCAGGGCCGGCCCTGACCCAAGGCGACAAAGGTAGGGCCTCAAAATTTATAGGCCCATGGATGATGGGTCACCAAAAAAACAAAATATTTTTAGGGCAAATCATTTCAGCCTCCCAGTCGCCTCCATCTCTATTCTCATTCTCGACTTTGAACTTGCCCTCTCTCTCTCTCTGCAACTGCAAACTACAAAAATTTACAAGAATCAGAAGTTCAAAACTCATATATTTCAGTTTATCTATCTGTCTACAAGAATCAAAAGTTCAAAACCCATATCGGCATATCTTTTCAGATTGTTCAAAAAATCAAAAACCCATATCTTTCAGTTTCCATCGCCCGCTGTTCCAGTTTAGGTTTGCCGTTCGCAAGCTTCAACCACTGGCACGCTGTCTCTCAACTCTCAAGCTTGTCCCCCCCTCTCTCTCTGCAACTGCTAACTTGTATGTATGGGTTTTGTTTTAATTTTTTTTCTTTCTAAATCAACTAATCAAGGTCTGTAATTCTTGTTTTGCAAACTAAATCCTATTTGGTGAAATTTTTTATGATCTTTTTTAAATAAATTTTTTTTTTTTACAATATAAAGTAACAAAATTTGCATTGCATTTTGAGGTAATCACCGTAATCTACATTTTATTTCGGCAAAACAAATATATTTTTTTACTTCTATAATTTCTATTTCTGTTTTGTTTTTTTTTTTTTTTTTTTTTTTTTTTTGTGAATTATTTCTACAAGAAAATATGAATCTGGGCATGAAAAAAGAAAAAAAAAAAAAAGATTCTGAATTGGATTAGAAATCTGCAGAGATTGAATCTGAAACAATTTTTATCAACATGCCAAGCTTTTTGAAGATGGAAATCTTTTCCGAACTAAAAAAAAAAAATCATAACAAGAACTTTGACAAGCAAAAGTACTTAATATAGAGTAAAGCTCTAAAGTTATTTAGTGAAAATTAA